ACTAGTTTTTAACATTAAGCTGTCCTAATGTTTATTTATCGTTAAGGTACTGAGGTTGCTGGCATTTTCTGAACTGAATAGGGAGAGAGGAAGGATATTCTAACCCAATCACTCCTTTCAAGAATCTAGTGTTAGCTGTCATTTTCTTGAAGATATACTCTGTATACCTTTCTTTTAAAATTTCAATCTTTCACCCATTTCCCAGCACTCATGCTCTCATTGTCACATCATCCAGTTTTATATTCTTTTTTATTGATACATACTGGTTATACATATTTATGGGGTACATGTGATATTTTTATACATGCATACACTGTATAATAATCAAATCAGGGTAATTTGGATATCCATCACCTCAAACAGTTGTCTCTTCTTCATGCTGGAAATATTTGAATTATTCTTTTCGAGCTATTTTGAAATATACAATAGATTAGTGTTAACTATAGCCACCCTACTGATCTGTTAAATACTAAGTCTTATTTCTTCTATCAGCCTGTTTTTTTGTACCCATTAATCAACCTTTCTTCATCTAACCCACCCCTCTTCACTTTCCAGCCTCTGGTAAGCTCTAATCTACCCACTGTCTCCATGAGATCCACATTTTTAGATCTTCCATATGAGTGAGAACATGTGATATTTGTCTTTCTTTACCTGGCTTATTTCACTTTACATAATGACCGCCAGTTGCTGCAAATGACAGGATTTCATGGTGTTTTATGGCTGAATAATACTCGGTTGTATGTAGATATATTTTCTTTATTCATTCATCCACTGATGGTCATTTAGGTTCATTCCATATCTTAGCTATTGTGAGTGGTGCTACACTAAACATGAGATACAGAAATCTCTTCAATATATTGATTTCCTTTTTTTTTTTTTGAATTTATACCCAGCAATGGGATTGTTGGATCACATGGTAGTTCTGTTTTTGGATGTTTGGGAAACCTCCATACTCTTTTCCATAGTGGCTATACTAATTTACATTATCATCAGCAGAGGGTTTCTCTTTCTCCATATCCTCACAGCATTTGTTTTTTTGTCTTTTTGATAAAAGCCATTCTAAATGAAGTGAGGTGATATCTCATTATCATCTTGATTTTCATTTCCCTGATGATTAGTGATGTTCAGCATTTTTTCATATACCTGTTGGCTGTTTGTATGTCTTCTTTTGAGAAATGTCTGTTCAGATCTTTTTCCCATTTTTAAATTGTATTATTTGGTATTTTGCTGTTGAGTTCTGTTATGTATTCTGGTTATTAATCCCTTGTTGGGTGGTTAGTTTGTACATATTTTCTCCCATTGTTTAGGTTGTGTCTTCACTTTGTCGATTGCTTCTTTTGCTGCGTAGAAGCTTTTTAGCTTGATGTAGTCCCGTTTGTCTATTTTGGCTTTTGTTGCTTGTGTTTTTACAGTCTTACCCAAAAAATCTTTGCCCAGAGTCCCCAGACCAATGTCCTGAATCATTTCTCATGGGTTTTCTTCTAGAAGTTTCACAGATTT